GTGTCTGTTGCCTTTACATGATATAGGTGCCATCCAACAATGCATCACAACATTGGTCCATGGTTCTTTTGAAGGAGTTATAAGGTACCCAATAAAAGATATTGCTGTAACTACTGCTTCAGTCCTCAAAGTCAGGACATGCTACCAACTAATGATAAACCAACTAATGATAAAATTCATTTTCTTCTGTGTCAAAGGAAAAAAATTGTATGGCCGAAAGAATTACCTAGCAATGGCCTTCTTCTAGAAGCACAATGGTTTCTTGAACAGCAGTCAGAGAACATGCATATATGTCCTTGAGTACACCCTCCCTGCTGCATTTATTTTGAGAACATTGCTACCACTGGACAGGAATAAAGCTCTTGTAATCTCTCATTAACATGGCCATCCTAAGCACAGTTATACTACTAAGACTTCAGTGGATTTAGAAGGAAGTAACTCTGTTTAGGATATCACTTTTAATAGCCAGATGACAGGAAGAGGTTTGGCAGACATCGCTTCTTGCCCTACTGGAGATTATGATGAGAAAGTATTGGCTTGTTAACTATTAAAGGGACAAGAGGTCTCTTGCTGAGAAGTTCACTGTCCTGCACACCAGTGCTTCCTTCTACTCCCCCCAGTTTATGACTCCATTTGCATTATAAAACAAGAGTCTGGTGGCACCTTATATTTATTCCAGCATGAGTCAGAACTCACTTCATCAGATGCAATAAAGAGTATATGCATCAGGTTGGTGCTTTTATATTCACTAAAGAAGTGTGTGTGGAGATCTTACAAAAAGAGGCTGGTATGAAAGATCAAATAGACTGTAAGTAATTCACTCAAAGTGAGTAAGACCCCCAATGGTTGTTACATAGGCAAAGCAGGATTAAATCTGAAGGCTTGTGGTTCCAGTTGGCTTCTAGGATATGTGGTCACTAGAGGGAAGGCCAAATCAGGTGGATGCCCACCACCTCAACTAAAGGCCCACCCGGTGGAAGATCTCCATCTTACAGGCTCTGCAGGACTGTAACAGGTCCCACAGGGCCCTGATCTCATAAAATAGCTTATTCCACCAAGCAGAGGCCAGGGCTGAAAAGTCGAGGGAAGTTGGACATCCCTAGGGCCACGGACTACCAGGAGGTGCTGTTCGTAGAACACAATGTTCTACGGGGCTCATATGGAGAGAGGCAGTCTCGAAGGTATGCAGGACCCTGGCCATATAGGGCTTTAAAGGTAAGCACCAACACCTTGAAACGGATCTGGTATTCAATAGGCAGCCAGTGCAAGTCATATAGCACTGGGCGGATATGTGCCCACACAGGCAACAGCATCAACACTCATGCCGCTGCATTCTGCACTAGCTGCAACTTCCAGAACAAAGTCAAGGGGAGCCCCATGTAGAGAGAATTACAATAATCTAGTCTGGAAGTGACCATTGCATGGGTCACTGCCGCCAGATAGTGTGGGGGGGTAAGGTATGGGGCCAACTGCCTGATCTACCTCAGGTGGAAAAAGACAGACCTGGCAGTGGTGGGTCTCCATACTGTCATCTCCCATACATCTCACCAGTTGATCTCAGGCCAGTCCCTGTCTCTTAACCTTTCTTACGTTACAAGGCTGTTGTGACCTCCTTGTAGCAATGGCAGCATGAAAAGTGTTATTCCAGTCAGAAAAAGATTAAGATTGTAGCAGTCCACATATAGTGCATGCACTGAATATACAAATGCTAATCAGTGCAAACAACGCCATTATTAACCGCCCTCCCAAAGGCAAGGCATAAGACACTGAAGATCCGTTATTATTCCTTCTCTCAGCTACTAACTCTCTTTGTCGAAGGACACACACTATGAGCAGCTGGCCAAGTGGTTAAACTCAGAGGTCATTTCGGGGGGATCGCGGGGGATCGCAGTTCCCCCGGGTGAGGTCATTTCGGGGGGGCGGGGCACATGACGAAGCCCCGTCCCCTGCTTCCGGCTGCCCCGTTTCCGGCCCTCATTCAGCTAGGAGGAGGCAGGAGAAGAGGGAGGGTAAGTTGCTTCCTCCCTGCCTCTCCCCACCCCTGCCTGCCTGGGGCCAGGGAGGCCCTTCGTGGGGCTTCCTTGCACTCCCACCGGCCTTGCAGGTCCACTGCCGGGCCCCTCATGGGGCTCGGCAGTGGAGCTGCAAGGCCGCCGGTGGCGGCCGGGTGTGTGGCCTTATGACAAACTTCCGGTGATGTCAGGGGGTGTGACATATGCTAATGAGTTATGCTAATGAGTTCCCCTAGCTCTTTTTCTACAAAACGACCCCTGGTTAAACTACTTTGTTTCCATATATTTGCCCAGTCCTAGAATTATACATACCATCCTCTAAATACCCAAGAAACTTTTGCTGTGTGTCAAACAACAGCAAACAGGCATTTCACCAGAGAGTTATTTAATAGCTATGGATATTAAAACACCACAGCAGCTTCCCAAAGGTGAATTCTTTGGCCAAGCCATGCTGCAATAACTTTCCTCACCTTTTTCATTTTTGCATTCCTGACTGTGAAGCGGCGGACTGTGTAGCAAGCATGTACTTTTGTGCTCTTGAGTGTGACTATAATATGACCGTATTCTTCACTGTTTTCTGTGGGCCAGTACTGGTCACATTTTCTCTGAAGAAAGAATATGTTGGATAGGCTGAAAATACTTTATGGAACATTTTACAGCACACAGAATGAATGGTAACTATGGACGTTAAGCAAAGTTCAAACTGGTTATTTCAAATCAATATGTGAAACTCAGCATCTCCCCCCCTATCACCTAAAGATTCTGGCCATCTGTACCTCTTGTCTCAGTTCATTCTCTTCTCCAGGTTTCCTTTACCCTTCAGCTAGATATTCTGCTTGTGTCATTCTGGAACATTTCTTTCTCTTACTTTTCTAGGCCTCCCCTATTTCCCTTGGCATACCTCTTTCTCGGGCCCTTTCTTCAACTCCTTCCTCTAGGATCAAAGCAGCTCAAGCCAATGTCAGTCAGACTATTCTGCTTCTCTAGCCCTCTGTAACATTAGGACACCTCAGCCAATCACTATTGGAGGCTTTAATCCTCATAACAACCAAACCCAGGCAAGTGTTTCAACTAGGCTTCGACCACAGAAAAGAGCGCCTAAACAGCTCAGAAGCTGCTATTTTTGGAATAAATTAAGAACACAAGAGAAGCCATATTGGATCAGGCCAATAGCCCATCAAGTTCAACACTCTGTGTCACACAGTGGCCAAAGCCCAGGTACCATTAGGAGGTCCTCCAGCGGGGCCAGAAATGCCAGAAGATTCTGCTAGCATAGGAATAATAAGATAAATTATACAGAACTTCTGTGTCACTATATATCTTTTCAGAAATTCTGAGTGGAGAGAATAAACACGTAGTGGGGAGGATGGGATTACAGCAGTTACTTCCAACCTCAACCTCTACATGTTCATTATAAAATTTACAAGGGTACACAAGTATGGCTCTCCATGTGACTGAGAACCCTGCTTTTTTCAAGGTTATTCATCACATAAGACCTTTAAGTTCAACCCAAAGATTGCATGCAGGGGTCAGGGCCGGAGCCAGGTGTCAAGATCATGGTATGCACTTAAAATGTGTGAAAAGGGCTTCTGTCTACTACAGATGGGGGGAGAGAATGATTTACCCCGGAAGAAATATGCACTCTTCTACTGTATATCAGTTTACATTATGGTTTCTATTATTCCTAATGGAAGAAATTCTACCCTTTTATGAATCTGAAAAACACTATATAGTCACTGTGAGAGGTAACAGAAGTGGGTAGACAAAAGCTGCATTGCCCTTACTCTTCCTTTTTCCACAAGGTTTGTAATCATGATGATAATTCCAGTGTTTTGCTCCCAAATCATTCTCCAGAAATCTTCGAATGTCGACTTTAAAGGTCCCTGGGTGGCAATGTAGGCTTTTACTTTGTTGTAACCCTTCAAAGAAAACCACAATACAAAGCAAGATGAAAGTATTTGGGTGGCAGACATATTAATAATGTATATATTGTAGAGATAGATGTCTTTCCCACTCTGAATGTTTGAAGAGTTTGGAGTTGAAGTTAGTAAACAAAAAGCCTCTACAAGCACTAATGGCTTCTATTCTTTCTGTAGGACAGTGTTTCTCAAAAGAGACAAGGAAAAAAAAACAGCTTACATCAACGTAATTAGCATTAATGTAGTCACTGTGCTTGGAGTCTTTTCCCGGTAAAGGTCTTAACTTCACTCTACTGTGATCATCTGCAAGAAAGAAACACAAAAAACATTGGGAAATAATAAAATCGGATACATTCTCTAGATTTCTTAGTGTTTGAGTAGAGAAGAAGAAAACTAAGCTAATCAACACCTCTCAACGTTTGTAATTGTGACAGACAGAATACAGCTTATGTCCCACAAGTTTAGTCCCGTCTGGCCCTCAGTTTTGAAGGCCAAACTAGACATCAAGCTAACTGAGCAGCTGCTGTACAAAATGGCAACTCTACCCCTCCAACCCATAATTCTTACTCACACGCTAAAATGTTGATGTATCTGTTTTTGTGCTTGTTGTCGGGGTGATTGGAATGTTCAGCAGTGATGTTCATGTCAGCTGTACAGCGCTGCACTTCCTGTTAAGAAAACAATTAAATTGAAAAAGGCAGATGAGTGTAAAACATTTTGTTTGTCTCATTTCACTAACAGCTCAGTTAGAACACATTGAAATGCCAGGAGCGTAATTGATTTTTCTCCTCCAATGAGTATTCTTTCAGCATATTCTAGTTCTACCAAGGATATTGCCTGGTTCCGAGTATTTGATAGAGTCCATGGTGACTAAAATTCACTCTGGTGCAAGTCTTACATTTTTCTGTAGCTCTTTGGAGATACTCAATATATGTGCACAAAACTGATAAAGTGAAGAGAGCCTGATGATCAGGGTGGCAAACTCACCCCTTGACCGTGGCACATTCACTAATGGTGTGTACAAACTGCTTTTTGCAGGGTTCTTCTGCATGTATATAGACCTACATGCTTATCGTTTGTGCATGCAGTACACTTAATGTGCACATGCTGAGGCCTGCTGTTATGGTCCCTTCTACTCAGCATGTTAAATGTACACACTGTGAATTTCTGCAAAAAGGTTTATATCTCCCTTAATAGCAGTCAGAAATGCATACAATGCATTCAATGGCATTTCATTAGCCATTTTCACAGCACTTAACTGCAATAAGGGCACTTTCACAGGGTAGAAGAAGAATTCAACATTTCTTTCTTCTGTTAAACAGCTCTGAGCCAGTTATGTGCCATGGCCAATGGCTACACAGAGACCTTGGGAAAAGGTTGTGTAATCACACAGAAAAGCTTCAAAAGGGGAGCAAGTACTTCCTTCTCTGATATAGAACTGTGCTGTCTCTCCCAGTGGGAACAAGGGACACAAAATAAAGTTAGAGGCAGGTATAAAAAGTGCAATTTACCAAAACATACCCAAAATGGAGAATACTGAGTAAATGGATTAATGAGTCACAAAAGTTGGATTGTTCAATACATATTTATAGCAGCTGTGTTTTCTATTTGTAATATATACAATAAAGCAGGGGGTTTTTTTGTAGAAAAAGCCCAGCAGGAACTAATTAGCATAATAGGCCACACCCAACAGTAGAAGCTCATTAGCATATTAGGCCACACCCTGATAGCACATCACATTAGCATATTAGGCCACACCCCATGTTACCAGAAGTGTGGTCATCCAGCCACACCCACCTTTTGCTTCTTATTCTATTTACTTTGTTTACTGTCAAAACCCAGGGCTTTTTTTGTAGCAGGAACCTCTTTGCATGTTAGGCCACATACCCCTAATGTAGCCAATCCTAATGCGTTTCTGCCATTGGGTGTGGCCTATTATGCTAATTAGTTCCTGCTGGGCGTGGCCAACATGGGAGCCAGCCGGAACTCCGTTCCTGTGCGTTCCTGCCCAAAAATAGCCCTGCAATAAAGCATCAATTGCTGTATTGTATCAATACACTGTTATGATACACAGACTTGTTTCAGATGTAACACAATGGTTTACTCTAGCTGTTGTTAATTAGTGAAACCAGGATTGGGCTCAGAGATGATCACTGAATCCTAGCCTATCTCAGCAAAATCCTTGATTCAGCACTGTTGTTCTTTTCTCCATCTCCCTGGCAGAGATCTGGCTGCTTATCCCAGCCTGACTCACAGTGACCAAATGATGGCAACGCCTCACTGCATGGCCACCTCAGTGGTGATGTGAAGATGGGGAAGTCTCTCTCATTCTTTTTGCAAATGGAAAGGAAATAATTTCCACTGATTCCTCTCCCACTGCAGACCACCATCACCCTCCCCCTCATGTTGTTTCTGGGTTTGCCCTGCCTCCAGGAACAACATTCCAGGGGACATTTTGGGCTAGAGGGAAGAGAGAAGTAAGGAAGGTCTGTTTCACTTAGGGTTCCCAGACCACCCTGGTGAAGGCGGGGCTCCCCCGCTGCCAGGCCCCACCTCCCCGCCACCAATCAGCTGACTGGCAGAGGGGAACTTACCTCCAAAAGAGGGACATCCATCCGACATGCAGCGATGTGTCTATGTTGCTGTCCATGTGACCCGTAAGTGACATCATCACATCCAGGATGTTGGGGTGATGCTCTGTTATTTAGGCAAAAACTCTATGGTAGAAGGCGAATTTACCCACAGAGTTTCCCCCCAAATACCAGAACATTGCCTCGACATCCCAAACGTGATAACATCTCTTCCGGGTCATGTGGGCAGTGACATGGACATGTTGCTGTATGTCAGATGGGCCTCCCTGCTGCTCCCGGTTAGTCCCCACCAATCCCCCGCCAGTTGCCAGCTCCACTAACAGAAACCCTTTCTGTCGCTGGAAATATTCTGTTGGATCCAGGCCACTCTACCTGTGAACCACATACTTCAAGTGTTCACACACAGAATTCCAAAAACCCCACCAAACCCCTTGGGAAGACTCCACTTCCTCCAGAACAGTTTCTACTCTTGCTGATGGCAAGAATAGTTTTGTTTTTGAGCCACTCTCAATTCTGTATGCAGAGTGGGCACAGAGTGTCAACAGGAAAACAAAACAGAATTAATATAAGATAACCAGGTTCATATATAACATGAAACTATAGTTAAGACTAACTGTGGTTAGTGAACTAGCTTCATATCTGGATTCAGATCCTGGGCTGAAGTACCCAAAATAACCATTAGTTAGTGTGATGGCTTGTGTTTGGATGATCAGTTAACTTAGTTTGGTTTAATTATGACATTATTTCACATTATCCCTGAACCAAACTAAAGTGAAACTGCACAAATAATTTTTGTGGTTTCCTTTTCTTCTTCAAAGTTATCAGTGTTGTCGTTTATTAAATTGCCACATTATAGTAATAGATTAATTCATAGGCATTGCCTTTCTGAAATTGGTTTTGGAAATATTAACTAGTATCCAAATATCAGAAAGTTATAAGCTGAGTGACTTAGAAACTATGCTCACCCACACTCCTTTTAATAACAGCCTTTAAACTTTGGCATTCATTGCAAGTGTCCTAAGATTATTAAAACAAAGTTTGAGTCCAGAGACATCTTTAAGACCAACAAAGTTTTATTCTGGGTATAGGTTTTCGTGTGCCTGCACACTTCTTCAGGTACCCACCTGCATCTAAGATAATTACAATCATTTCCTAACAGCATGAGCCTTGTTCTTTTCATTTTCTTGAGCATTTGTCCCAATATATTTGAATTTTATCTAAAAGTTACTTTTCCAGGGTGTCATGCATCCCATCTGATATCCTGAACCCTCCCCAAGGTTATAAAGATGCCAAACTGTTTGGTACCCAGGGCTAATACATGCTAATACAGAAGCTTCCTAATAAGGGAAGTCATTACAGCACAGCTGCTGCAAAGAAGCACGAGGAGCTAAGGGACAGAGGAAATTATCATGAGACGTATGAAAAATTCAGGATTATGCAGAATTTTCACATATCAAATTCATAGCCATCTCTGCTGCTTTGCCCCAAAACATTTAAGTTTTTTGAAAATTCAAACCATCTAAATCCAAGTACAATCAGGCATTCATAAAGTACTGTTAAGTCGTATTCCACTGAGTTTTCCACAGGAAAAGTAATGAGATATCATGTATAGTCTTTAAATGGCACAAAGTTACTTCTATTATAACTAGTTTTCATATTAGTCATTTGGCCTGTTGGTAATAATTCAAGGTTGAGAACACACTGCACTCCCCTTTGTAGATTATCAAAAACAAAGCTCTCTGCCCTTTATAGATTATAAAAAACAAACCCTCCATACCTCAGCTAGTAGAATACCCAGTATACTGCCATATGGATAGCCCCCATAATGCCAGGAAATTTCTACAAGGGCCATGAGACTATGGGAGCAATGATAAGCAGGTCTAGTCAGAAATATGTCCTATTCCAGGGATCTAGGGTTGCCTGGTCCCTTTTGCCCGCCAGTGGGGGGATGGGGTCGACGTTCCGGGAGTGCAAAGTGACATCCCCTCCCCAACAGTGACATTGCACAAGACATTCCTGTGTCACTCTGAAGTGAAGTTGGCACATTGGTGATGCTGCTCTGGATTTTGGGCAAAACTCTATGGTAAAATCAGCATCGAACTAGAGAGTTTTATCCAAAGTTCAGAGTGTCGCTCCCTGATGTTGCTGATGTCACTTTCAGACAGCCTTTGTAATCCATTTTGGTAGCTGGTTGCTAATATTTTTTGTGTCATTCCAGACACAACCGTTGTAGCAATCAGCTGCTAATGGATTTTATTTACCTTTTCATAGAAAGCCACTTGCATCCAGTTAGCAAGGCATGGTTGAGCCGTTCTTGAGGTAAACTGCTTTCTTCCATTTTCATCTCTTCTTTGAGCTTCTGAATCACTGCAGTGTGCTGTTTAAAATGTCTGTAGCTCTTTCAATAGTGCCACACTTTTTTCCTCTGCCCCTTTTCACCATATGATCTTCCTCAAGCTTTTTCTTTTGAACATTCTAAGCTGAGCGCTATATCACTAGACCAATATAGAACTTCAGTGCTACAGTGGCACCATTGAGATGCCTTGGCACCACATTACATGGATACAGGGGAAGAGAAGTAGTTCATTGGGCAGCGGGTGCTCAGGGCATCAGTGACTGGTGTTACAGAAGCTGCTGTAGAAAATGTCCTAATGTTCACCCATCCACACAGCCCATGAATGCCCAGACACAATTGGCTAGTAAATGTTGCCAAGAGAATCTCACCCGCTGCCCAATGAGCTACTTCTCTCCTCCTGTATCCATGTAACAACAGCTGTAATCTCAATATATCTCAGTGGTGCCAAGGCATCTCAATGGTGCCACTACAGCACTACATTGGTCTAGCGGTATAACTTAGAACGTTAAAAAAAAGTTCAAGGAAGATCTGTTTCAAATGGCCAGATCGCTTCAGAGATGGCTCATTAATGGAATGAAATTCACTAACCTCCGTCCCTGTATCGCTTTACTTGGGACCGGGGCAACAACGGATAACATCTGGTTTAGAATGGTACTGTGAAAGGGGCCATACTGTTTACAATATTTTCCTGCATATACATAAAAAATAAACCCTGATCTGG